CGCCTGATTATTGTTTCGTCTCCCTGGGTCTCGCGAGTTTTGCTCTGCGGCGCGACCTTCCCGTCTCGCAAGCTTTCCCGACTCGGCTCTGTGGCTCCTCTGTGGTGTGGCTCGTCTTCTCGCGATTGTTCCGGTCTCGCGAGTTCTGCCGCTTCCCATCTCGTAAATTTTGTTCTCGGCTCTACGGCTCCTCTGCGGTGCAGCTCGTCTTTTTGTGATTCTTCCGGTCTCGCGAGTTCTGCCGCTTCCCGTCTCGCGAATTTTGCAGTTTCCCGTCTCACGGCTCCTTCCAGTCTCGCAAGCGGCTCGGGAGTACTCGGCTCTGCGGCTCCCGCATGTTCACAGCTTTGGTCGACGCCATTTTTCCCGTGTTTTCTTAACGCCACACATGGCTTCAGATATATCGTATGCAGCAGCCCTCACAGGTGTCCATGCCTCAACTACACTTAAATCGTGTTATTTCCCTCCTTCGTTTGAGTGACTCTTTCCCTCCTTCGTTTGAGTGGACGAAGAACATCAAGAAACCTGATATGAAGAACGGGAAGTCTGACATCTTTTTTACAGAAGCTGAAGGTATTCAACATGTTTCCTCCTGTCGTCTAAATTTGGTTGGGAAGTTTCTATCTGATCAACCCAAAATGGAGCTTATTTGCAAGGAATTTTAAATTATGCACCTTGTTGGGGAGTAGAAAATTAGACTATTAGGTGAGAGACACATTCCTATTCAAATTAATAACGAAGAAGATTACACGTGCTTATTTGCTAGAAGGATAATCTGAATTGATAACAGAGCAATGAAGATTCTAAAATGGTCTGTGGATTTTGACCCATAGACGGAACCACCAATCATTCCGGTTTGGATTCGCCTCTATGGTCTGAAATTTCATTAGTTTTTCAAAAAGTGTTGTATTCTATTGCATCAGCTTATGGTAAATCACTCAAGACAAACATTCCTACTTTTAATCTTTCTCGTCCATTTGAAGTCAGACTACTTGTTGAAAAAGACATTACTTCTTCCACTTCTACGGAAATTTGATTGGGCACACAACATCATGGATATTGGTAGAAGGTAGAGATTGAGCATTTTACTTCGTATTGTTTGAACTGTCGTATGTTCGGTCACTCCAATTCTCAATGTCATCATCTACATCCTCATCTCAGACCAAAAAAATAAAGTACTCCGCTAGAGGCAGTGATTCCAACTCCTAATCAGCTCCAAGTTATTGACACTATCGATCATCAAAAGGATACACCTGAAGACGTCACTATTCCCGCAGGCAATATATCAACCATTCAGTCTCCACACATTGTTGTAACTCCCCCGTCTTTGGAACCTCCTATCGTGGAGGCAAGAGAGATTCTTCAGACTCTGTCTGCCCTTGAACCTATCACTGATATTACAGGTGAAAATACATTTGTTGCTTCACTACCGCCTCATCAAGTCCAGAAAGATGTCAATGTTACTCAAACTCAGGGGGACCATGATGTGCAACGTCCTACACCTGTCTGGTCACCTTTGGACAAATTTATTAATCAGATGAGTCAATCCTCGGATGAGGACTGTCAGGTCTACACATCCAGGAGGAAGAAGAAGAATGGAGACATACTTGAGCTCAAAAATCTGATGGATGATATTTTGGTTACATCAAGTAATGATACACACCTTACCAATTTGTTAGCTGGCTCTCTTACGAGAACTAGAGACAGAGGAAAAACTAAAGTAAGACGTCCCTAGCACCATTGCACCTGTTTCTTCTCATACAACTTATCTGTACATTTTCTTCTTTAATATATTAGCCCTTGGGCTTTTTATATATATATATATATATATATAATGAGTATTATTTTTAAATAATTTAATTGACTACAATGCTACAAAGATTTATAATCAATTAAAATTACTAATTAAAAATAGAATAAAAATATATTAAATTCTATTTAAATGAATATTTTAATATAAATAATGCGATTTCAATGTCGCCCTACCCTTAACATTTTACGGCCGTGTGATTAGAGTCATCAAAATAGCTCATTGTTCGTGAATACTCGTGTTCGGCAAGATAAACAAGCGAGCTAAACACAAACAATTTTTTTTAGCTCGATGAATAAACGAGTCAAACCTGAACAATGATATTTTTTAACAAATTGAGTCTGAACTCGCTCAAGCCCAGCTCATTTACACCCCTAACAGTTGCATGCATGACTAGGGTAGTCAAATTGGTTTTTTGTTCGCGAAGAGCTCGCGTTCAACTGGCTAAGCAAACAAGCCTAACACGAACAGTGGTATTTTTTAAAGAGCCGAACACGAGCTGAGCCCAGGCTCGCTCGTGTTCTACTCGTTTACACCCTGACTTGTTGGCACATAACTGATACAGTTGTTAATGCTCACATTTCGCAGGTTTCTAAACCCTAGGCTTTTGCCACTTATTTGGCATTAAAACAGTGGCATGCCTGGCCCTTACTACTATGCATTTTGCAACTGCTGTGTTAACTGCCTAAAATTAAGGAGCTGAAGTGCACATGCTTGAATTTATTGATTTATCCACTTATGCTTGATAGTGAAATATCATATGTGATGTGATAGGCTGACAGATACAGATAACCTGCGCAAGAAAAACACAAGTTCTGACGAAATGAGTCTGGATAGGGAAATAACTGAATTCGTGATTCTTATAATGAAGATCGGAATATGTCATTTATTATCAAAGGGATCATGGATAAATGTTGCGTTGGAAACCGCCAATATTTGTAAGTTGTTATTATAGCCGATGGGTTGAGTGACGACTTAAAGAAAAGAAATAAGTCTAGGCCTATGCATATATAAAGTGGCATTCATAAGACGAGAAAGTTTAGGATAAGAATGAAAGTAAAAGTAAAATAAAGGCATACAAATTTTTGCATAACAGAGTAATAAAATCATTGCCAGTATCAGTTTGATTATTATTGACTACTACATCTTATACTACAATTACTTCATGCTTTCTATACTTTTAAGTACTTATGTGTATTTATTAACGTTAATGTTAATGCTTATACTAGTCACTTACAAGCATGTATGTTGCTTGTTTTATGTCTATTAAATTTTATTTTAATATTGATTAACTCACTGAGCTTATAAGTCATCAAATATTATATTGTTGTTTTTCAGGGGAGGTAAAGAGTAGGTGGGCAGTTGACCATGTGAATTGACTTTTTATCAACTTCTGGGGTATGTACGGTTTTTATATTAAAGTGTTTAGGAGCTTTGTATATAGTTTCAGAATTAGTTCTGCATGCTTCCGTTCGTATTTTGATACGAACGAAAATGGGATGGATTAAAGTGTAATGATTTTCTTGAGACAATTTGGTAAGCCTATTTTCTACTCAGCTTAAGGGAGGGTGGGTTCGTCCCTTAGGGTTAACTCACTGAGGGACTAGTATAAGCTAATTTACCTTATTTAGATTATTATTAGGGTTAATTTTGTTTTGAGTCAAAATTATTGTTAATCCTTGATTTTGGGATTTTTGGGTTTTGATATATGCAATAGAGATTATTTTCTCTAGTTCTTTTTTGTCGGAGTGTTGCATCCTTAAATCTTTTTCAGGTAGTAAGTTTGTAGCCTCATTGGAACAAGATAATGATCTCTCCGGAATATCTGAAGACTTCCTACACTGTCGGTCTCAAGCCGGCCTGTAGTTTTCTTGCTTCAGCTTGGTGTCCAACCGCCACAAAACCTAATTTCTCAAATGTCATCATCTTTTCACCCTCTTTTCTCGTCCTACAACTTACACAACCCCTCTCTTGATCACCCCAAACCATCCAATAATCTTAGAAATTTTTTTTGATGTGCATGACTATTAAGAGCTTAAAAAAAATTCCAAGATCAGAATTTGGATATGCATGTTTGCCAATAATGTATTGAGCTATCCACCTACATAGACATTTATTCAAGAGATAAAATTTGAATCTAAAATTAATATGCGTGGAAAGAAATTGCCATCATGAACAGATTACATAATTATGTCTACACGTACGAACGAATATTGGATGGATTAAAGTGTAATGTTTTTCTTGAGACAATTTGGTAAGACTAATGTTCTACTCACCTAATCCTGATGCACTTCATAATGAGTGCCGATAAAAATTGTGCCTGGCTCAGTTGCCCTCCCTGTTACACTTTTGGTTGACCTGAGAGGATTGACTAGGGTGAGACATAAGGGCAAGACGGACCCCATAGGGAGATATATTTACCTTACTTAGATTATTATTAGGGTTAATTTTGTTTTGAGACAACATTATTGTTAATTCTTGATTTTGGGATTGCGGGTTTTGATATACGCAATAGAGATTATTTTCTCTAGTTCTTTTTTGTCGGAGTGTTGCATCCTTAAATCTTTTTCAGGTAGTATGTTTGTAGCCTAATTGGATCAAGATATGATCACTCTGGAACATCTGAAGACTTCCTACACTGTCGGTCTCAAGCTGACCTGAAGTTTTCTTGTTTCAGCTTGATGTCCAACTGCCACAAAACCTGATTTCTCAAATGTCATCATCTTTTCACCCACTTTTCTCGTCCTACAACTTACCCAACCCCACTCTTGATCACCCCACACCATCCAGTAATCTTAGATCGCTGTCACAAACAGTGAAAATTTTTTTTGATGTGCATGACTACTAAGAGCTTAAACAAAATTCCAGGATCAGAATTTGGATATGCATGTTTGCCAATAATGTATTGATCTATTCACCTACATCGACATTTATTCAAGAGATAAAAATTTGAATCTAAAATTAATATGCACGGAAAGAAATTGCCATCATGAACAAATTACTTTATGCCCGCATAAGCCAATTAGTCTTTTTACATAGAATTTTGTACAAGTAAAACATAATCATGTTCTATTTAGCAAACTTCTAATACCTCAGCATGAGGTTTAGCGAAAAAGTCGGAATAAGTAAAATGTGACACTAGAACCAAAAGAACTGTAGTAAAAAGTAATTTCATAGACATAAATTTTACCTCAAATTCACCACCAAATTGTGCTCCATACACCAATATCTTTTTAGGAACACAACCCCGAATGACGCATCTGCAATATCATTACTAGCAGTGAGTAATCGACTGGAATATAAATTCAGAAAACCAAATTAACAGCAATTACGGCACATAGACACATGTTACACCTATAGGCCGTTCAGCAAAAATGAAAAATTCATGCGGAAAGGCCTTCATGACTCATTGTATGGTCCTCATCAACAGAAAGAAACACTGGCATGGAGTATAACTTCTGACAACGTCATGAAACTTACGTTCCACCAATTCCTCCTAGAGATTCAGAACTAATAGGATTGAATGGAAGCTCACAGATCGCCACCTGCAACAGGATTCACAACTCTGTTGTAAGAAGTTGAACAAGATAAAGTTAAAAATGCCCATTATTGGATGTAAGAAAAGAAATACATGAGATGATCTAAAGTAAAACAAAACAACAATGAACAGAAAATCCCACTATGGTTTATCAAGAAAATGAACAATGAGGGAGGGCAATGCCAAAGCGTACATGCCTAGGGCTGATTTACATTACTACAATATTTTGGGTGAACTTTTGGAAGTCAACAAAAGTACATAAGAGTACCCTCAAATGAAGAACAGACTAAGAAAAAAACACTTTGAAACAGAATTCTCGCATGCCTCATTAACCAGAAAGGCTTGACAGGATTGGATCAAATCATTCATAAACAATGAAGAGGCCGCAATCAATCAAATAGAGATGGTTCCATAAAAAATCCATCTTCGGCAACCGAATTTTAAAGGCCATCATTTCAGTACAAGAGAATAGCCTACCCAGTTACCATTACAGCATATATAGTAATCAAGCCCATGCACCTTTGCTAAAAGAGAAATAGAATACCAAACCATAGAATATGACAGAATACAAAACATTAAAATGAAAATAAATTTAGAACAGGAAAAACTTGTGTTGATTTTAGGTTTAATGAAAGAGAGCTCATCAAACCTAAACTTTTTCATCAAGCTATAAAAATTATTAACGAAATCTGAAAATGATTTCGTGTAGCTCAAAAGTGTCGGAAAATATACTTTTACCCTAAGCATAGAGAGATTGGATTCCAAGTTGAAGATCATATACTTCTCAAGGTTCTACCTATACGTGGAATCATAAGATTAGGCAAAGTGGACCTCAGCCCCACTCACTTTATCGACCCTTCTGAGTTGATTGAAAGAGATGGTTGATAGAATTTCATATTGGTTGGCTCTTCTTCTAAGACCAGCGTTGGCTCTTCTTCTAAGACCAGCCAGCAAAAGTTGGCTCTTCTTCTAAGACCAGCAAAAGTTGGCTCTTCTTCTAAGACCAGCAAAAGTATGCAATATTTTTCAAGTTTCACTACTACAGAAATTTATGCATAATGATTCTCATATTATTTAGTTCAAGTCAATGTAGACTTGAGAAGATCTAAGTTATGAAGAAGTATTGAAGCGCATTATAAAGCGCCATGTTCAACAAACTTTATCATTGCGCCCTCTTTTGCCAGAGTATTTTAGAATATTTAAACAGAGCATGAAACAACATTGGTGGTGGAAGAAAAGATGATCGGAACGTTTGACTTACTTGAATTGACATATTCAAGTAAGTCCTATATTATTTGATAACGATATATAACTTGCATATTATTCCATATTTAAATTTAATAATCGTATTCTAATTTGCTTCGAAGTCAAATTTTTGCCTAGCTGTTGCTGGTGATTAAATTTTCCTATAACCCTAGCCACATGCCGCCTCCTTCCTCCTTTGACCAGCAGCTGTCACACGCCCTTGTCTCTTCTACAAAAACCTTAGTTGCCAACCCTTCTTCCTCTTTCGCTAGAAACAGATGAATCATCTTCTTTCTCCTCGCTCACAATTTCATATAATAAACTTTTTTCAACTTTATGCTTATTACCAAAGTCGATGTCTACCTCATTTTAATATAGATATATTATGCTCTCTATAACCATAGACCTCACTTTAGATGATGATGCACAGTATCGTTTAACATTTATAAGTTGTCCTTTGATAATCATAATTATCTTTGAATTGACATATTCAAGGGTTTAATGGGTTTAATAAGAGAATTCGTGGAATCATGATTTACACCCATAAGACAGATTAAATCCTTCCAATGATATTGATTAATTAAAATCAATTGTGAGGTAGCATAGTGATGCGTGCTAGAAAATTCGTGGTTGTAGAGTAATGAATTTTGTCTTAGCGTTGCACAAGAATTCATCATACACTCAAATAAAAGAAAACAATCAGCAGTGATACCAAAATTTTTTACGTGGAAAACCCGTAAAGCGAAAAAACCGCGGGGTCTGACCCAGATGATCACAAAGACCCCTTATCCGACATACGGCAAATGATTAAAAAGTCTTCCAAGTTACAAACTCGATCTGCGGATGAACTTGTTGCAAAGAATGGGCGGCGAGCAATAATAATCAGCGGCGGCCAGCAAATGGGGGTCGATAGTGGTCGGCGATGGCCGGCGGTGGTGTGAACTTCAGCTCCTTTTCAAAGCTTCAAGTTGTTCCTCAAGCCTCAAACTTTCCTCCTTTCTCATGGATGGGTAGGGCTCTATTTATAGAGTTCCAGATACAATTAATACAGGAATATAAATCACTTTGATCGTACAGTCTGGCAAGGTTCCCTTGATCGGACGGCGTTTGATGGACATTTGAGAGTCTTAATGATGTTTGAATTGAGCAATCTTGAGCTAATTGGATTCATCTTCTCGTGAAGCTCAGATTGATTATAAACTCGTCGAATTTGACATCTGTTTGACCTTCCAAATGTGTCCGAAAAACTTTTTAAAATGATTTAATGGCTTGATTTGCGCTTAATTTGACTCGAATCTTACCAATTTTGATATTATTAGTTCTGTCTCATCGAGCCGATCAGTTTGACTGTAAGTTTATTGAAAATAGAGCTCTGGTTGACATTAATAGAGCTCTGGTTGAAATTAAATTAAAGTTTGAATATTTTTTGCTCAAAAGATTGCTTCGAAATCCATGTCATGCCTCGAGATTCATGTCGGATAATGAAAATTTATTGATGACGTATCAATTGCCTCCATATTTTTGGACGAGACCGTTTTCTTCATTTAAAAATCTTAAGTTTGGAGCACTTTATATATTTATTATAATATATATATATATAGTATATATATATTTATATTTATATAATATTAAATCTTAATGGTTTTATAAGCATAAAAATTAACGTGCACATAGTAAAAAAATAAAGTTTAGCTTATTGGTTGTCACATTTTGCTTCTTGAGGTGGAAGTTCAATCTTAGGCAAACTGCATCATACAAATTTTTTTTTGTTTATTCTTTGTAAATATATAAATTTTGGTGATAGAAATATAAACATATAGGTAAATTTTTTATAAGTTTTCATGTATATATAAAGGAATTATATGTATAAATTAAAACGTAAATATGGAAAATTAAAAGATTTGAACATAACTTAAGCATATGCATATGAAACCGCTAAATGCCAAACATTGAGAATTTGAAAAGGTTGCATTAATTTGAAAATGTTGTATATAATTTAGGTATATGAAACCATTAAATTTCAACCATTAGGAATTTGAAAAGTTTGTATATAATTCACATTTATCAACTTGTTATTTTTCTTTTTCTTTTTTATTTGGAATGAGGAAGGTGAAAGGTGGAAGGTGGAAGGTGGAAGGTGGAAGGTGGAAGAGACAGAAGGCCAAAAGTGGAAGGTGAAAGTGTTAGAAAATTAATGCAGATTTTAATTATTTTTTTTAATAATTTTTTCATCAATATGAGAGATTTTTTATCATGTAGATAGGCAAACCAGATGAGGATGGAGGTATAGTTCCCCACTCTGAGTAGCAAGCAATCAACGAGATCGTCTTTCATGTTGCGACACAAAAAAAAATCGTTATCATCCTGCGCAGAAGGTGATCAACGAGATCATCTTTCATGTTATGGTACAAAAGAAAGTTGTCTTCATCATGCTTAGCAGGCGACCAACGGGATCTTTTTTCTTGAAGAAGGTGCAGAAAAAATTCGTCCCGACCTATGTAGCTGACAATCAACGGGATCTTCTTTCAAGTTGTTGTGAAGTTGATAGTCGTCCCCGTCCTGCGTAGCAGACAATCAACGTGATCTTCTTTTGCGTCGCTGAGATGAAAAAATTATCTTCATCCCTGCCCAGCAGGTAACTCGGGATCTTCTTACTTATTGTTGATGTGAATTCTGGTGGAGATGAATAAATGTTAAATTTTTCCGCAACACTTTGAGGGGTAGGTTTTCATACTTCTGTAGCAGCAATATATGGAGAATATCGTCCTTTTGAAGATCAGCAGAAACACCAAAATTTTGAAGAGGAACCCACCACTAGTCGAAGATGAGCTGACCTCTTGTAGCCTTTGTACCAGTTCTTGTTTATTTTTATGGTTTTTTTAATCATCTGATGTGGCATTTGAAAATGATGATAATGTATTTTTTTTGTTATTTTCGATGTTGTTGTGGCTCTTCAATCATGTAAAATTTTGCAATTAAAGTTAGCACATATTCTTTATAAAATAGAGAATTGCGTACATTTTGAGACTCATGTCTGCTGAAGTTGTGCCCTCTCAGTCCTATGCCTTATAGGAATTTGAAATTAATTGTTGTCTTCTAAGGCTTGTAGCTCTCTAAGGTTTTTGTTGTACTTGTGGCTTCTGAAACTTGTAACCTTCTGAGGTATTTGATGTACTTGTATCTTTTAAGACTTGTAGTAATCCGAGGACTTTGAGTGGAGGCCCTATCAACCACTTGCTCTCTTGAAGTCTTTCTAATGAGAACTCTGTCCACAACTAGTTTTTCATCGAGACATGCGTCTTGGGCTCATCTTTCAAGGACATGGTAGTTTTCCATGGAGTTTTTGTTTCTTAGACTCGACTTCCAGGTGTACTGTATCATCTAATCAAGCATTTTTTCTTTAGCTTGACTTCTAAGGGCATGGTAGTTTCTCATCGAGTTTTGTCTATTGGGATTGACTTTCGGGAGGATCGTATCATCCCATTATGTCTTCCTTTTGGCCTCGACTTCCAGGACTACCGTATCATCCCATCAAGTCTTACCTATTGAACTCGACTTTCAGGGGCATAGTATATTCTCTTTGAGTTTTGTCTCTTAGGCTCGACTTCCAATGATACTGTATCATCCCATCAAGTCTTGCTAGTTGGGCTTGACTTTCAAGGGCATGGTAGCTTCCCATTGAGTTTTTCCCCTTTGGCTCGACTTACGAGGGTACCGTATCATCTCATCGAGTCTTGCCTCCTGGGCTATACTTTAAGGGGT